TTTTTTCCTTTTACATTTTCTTAGTTGTGGTCAAAAAAACATAAAATTTACCGTCCTGTTTGAACTATTTTAATAATCTCCGGCTAATCTTCTTCTAAAAACTGGAATTAGGAAATTGGTATTTATGAATAGGGCTTGAAATTTAGAATCAGTAGTTTTCCAAGGGTAACCTGTATATTGGGGTGGTGTATATAATGAAGCCCTAAACTGGATTAATGCAACTCACTCTCCATGCCAGAGGTTCTTGTTTCTTCAAGGAGAAAATACCCATTCTGGAAAAATGAGCTTCACTTTCATATCTTCCTTCTCTGCAAGATATGTTTCTTTAAGTGAAATCTTTATTCAGAGTACAGTGGATTAGCTGATTAATGATAGACTTAGAAAACCATCTATATTTTATTATAGCTGTAACCATATCTATTTTCTCAAACAACTTACTGTTGTTTTCTTATTATAATTCAGTGGCCCTATTACTTAAGAATTTTTTCAAGCCCTGGTAATAGAGAATCATATACAATTGGGGAGGGAGAATCCTTGTAAATTCAAAGTGGGTACTGTCAAGCAGCTTATGCACTTTTCTTGATTCTCAGTGTTTGACATAGTTTGTTAGTAGCTATTGACAAATGCCAAAGTTGAGAATCTGTTTGAGCTCCTCTACCAGAATCATATCTTTATTAAGAAATGGCCAGACTCATTATTAAACTATAGTCTCACTTTGATTTCATAGCTATAAGACACGATATCTTAGTTGACTCTACCAATAACAGTATCTTATATTTCTATCTTAAAACATTCCACTTTACTCTGCTTACATATACATGCAAGCACATGTATTCAAATACACGTACACAGAAGTTGATGACTGAAATGATGTACAGTATAACATCTGCCAAGTGTTTCCCTGAATGGCAAAGCAAAGCTTTTGGCCACGTGTTCTCTGTGACTTCTTATAGCTCAGGGAAGATAAGAGAACATAGGAGAAAAGGCAATACTCAGGTGACATATTATGCCTATTCAAGTTAAGTCATCTTGCCAGATGAGTTAGATTATATCTTATTATACTTGAAAATGTTTGTGGATATCAGTTTTTTTTTT